AAGCCTATCTGACGAAACTCTCGTTGTTCCGGTTGATGAGATTGAGGTGAATGAAAACCTTCATTTCGTAGAGGAACCCGTTGAAATAATGGACATAGAAGTGAAGTGGACAAAGCAAAGTCGTATTCCCATTGTGAAGGTTCGATGGAGTGCCAAGTGTGGACCTGAATTCACATGGGAACGCGAAGACCAGATGATGCAAAAGTACCCCCATCTTTTCACTAATTCCTGAAGGCTGCTTTAGAACGAATTTCAGAACGAAATTCCCTCTAACGGGGGGATGATGTCACAACTAGTAATTTAGAGCTTATATTTTGAAGCTTGTACACAACAACTTCCTCCATGTAACCTTGTTGCATCTTATTAGTGAAATTCAAAACTACAATGTTATATGAAATCATATGAGCATACAATTAGAAGTCAAGTTGAAATAGCCTCTCGTAAGCCCAAGATGGATCAAATAGCTAAACAAAGTCTTTTGGGCCTTTGCCCAAGAGTTCTCGACCCAACACCTTATTGGACCGAAAACTCTTCCTTGGGCCCTATTGGACCGAAAACTCTACCTTGGGCCTTATTGGGCCAAAAACCCTTTTATTGGACCTAATTAAACCAAAAAAGCCTATACATACTCCAAAACGAAAACCCTTCTACCCTTGGGCTTTAATGGACCGAAAACCTCTTAATGGGCCAAGCCAAAACCCGAAAGCCCATGAATTTAGCCCACTATGGCCGAAAACCATATAGGCTTCGGTTAGGGCATGAGTAAAAAAAAGGAAAACAAAAGTCAAAAAGCTTGCCACCTCAATGGTTTACCCTCTCTTAACCATAGGGCAACCAAGCCATGCATGTAACTACCCACCATGCACCCATGAACTACACCTTATAGACCACCATGCATCAAAGCACTCAATTCCCTCCTCCCTTTTTATATTTGCGGCCGAACACACACACACACACACACACACACCTCACAAATTCACTTCACTCACTTTGCTTCCAAGATAATTTCCTCTCATCTTTTCTCTCAAGAAATTTCGAGTATCATCACCACAAAATCGGTCCTAGGCATTTTGGTATGTTCCTTGTAAAACTCTAGTGCTTATATGCATCTTAGTGTTAAGATCATTCCATTTACACACCCATTTTCGTGTGTATGATTCTTAGAACATCCCCCATTTTCGAGTGGCCTTCAAGTTATACAAAGCTAGGCTCAACAACTTCTTTCTTCTTCTTCCTGTCACACGAAATCAAGGTGACCTTCATACCCCACTATTTTCGTGTTTTTCATACTTTTTTTTGGGGGGGGGGGGGGGGGGAATACAAGTCAAGTTTTATTTAACCATTGGATATTTGCATGCACCTACATGTTTATGTATCAATTTGAGCTTATAATGTTGAATATCTCATGTTGATACACCATAAACTTGAGATTTACAAGCCTCATTTTTGCTAGATTAAGTTTATCTTTTGGACAATTGCATGCTTCATAGTTATGTGTTGAAATACTTGTGTAAAAAGGTATTTATCTTATATAGTTTCATAAAATCGTGATGAACATGTTCATTAACACATTTGTTATACAAAAATTCGTGGACATGGGTTTGGTCACTCAAAATTTTCGAAATCATAGTATGTATATATGCATGTACTTTTAGATACATACATACTCCCCTTTTTATAAATCTACACTAATATTTGGATAAAATATTGAGTTTATCATTTATGGTGTTACAAAAGTCGTGACATATTTGAGTTAAACTTAGAAAACATATTTGGTGTTATAAACTTGCAAAAACCGGTAAAAATGGATGTTAAACATAAATATTAAGTTTGATATTCTACTAAAAATAATATTATTGGTAAAATAGTCGTAAACTTATCGTCATCATTTTTAGATGGTTTATAACCCAAGATAATATGGTATTTTTGCAACATATGTCACAACTAGACATATTCACTAAAGTCTATTTATATAAAATGTTATAAATATTTTAACTGAAATCATACACAAAACAGTTTTATGACAGAAAAATGTGCGTGTCATAAACTGTCTGTCATAAAAATCATATTGCATGAGTAATAAGTTGTGTGTCATGAAATCAGTAAAGCGCGTGTCATAAACAGCATGTTATCAAAATCTGTAAAATGCGTGTCATAAAACATCTGTCACGAATTTACACTAGTAAAGTTACTTCATTATACAATAAAGAGATTCGAAATTTGCGGAAATCCGTTAAGGCTCTAGTGAGACACTATCTTCAACGTACCTACCTAGTGTACATTCTAAGTCCTGCATTATAACCAGAGTCTCCTGGAGGGAGAGCGAGATAGTTGTGTATAGATCTATACGGGGATTGACACCCCCACACATGAGCTGTTCGCTACAGCTAGACGGGGCCAGTCTAGGGGGACAAATATCTTACCTATTCCGACGCCTGAAGAACGTCGTACATGCATAACAGTCACATCAAACATGGTTATAATAACTCACTTAGGGATTAACAATACTATTTTGATTTACGGGAAGCTTACACTTCATCGATTTTATAAAATATAAAACTGCATTTTTCCTCCCGGTTCACTATTGGTTTTTCACTACTGGTCTAGGGTTTAAAACCACAGTTTTTCATACAACAGAAAATATAGGATTTTCTGAGAGCATACAATTACAAACAAAAGAAAACAAAGGACATGCATGCATATATTCACAGTTTTGGAATGAGACTTACAAAGAATTTTCATAAGAAAATATCGGATTTTCTAGAAACATACAAATCATTTCAAACAAAGATGTTACAAATATTTTCATACAAATATGCTTATGAACTCACCAACATCCTATGTTGACGCTTTTCAAAATGACTTGTATTCTCAGGAACACAGTAAGCAGGTACTTGAGCTATGGATGTTGGATATTTTGCTGCATTTTAAAAATTACATTTCTGTCACTTTTGTGTAATTCCTGAACAAATACAATTTGTACACAATGTAAATTTGTTATCTCAATGTATGTCGTTTGGTTGCTATGTTTCATTCATATTCAATTGTTATGATACTATACAATGACGTCATCCGCCCCCAGACGTTTCCGCCGTCCTGGTTCGGGGGTGTGACAAAAGGACTATCGATCCAAAAAAGTCGAGGTTTGGACCAAACCTCAGAAAAAATGCATACCATAGGGACCATTTTTGCAGTTGTCTAAATAATAGATAAAATTACATAAATGGTCCTTGTCTCAAGCACAAGTTACATAAATGGTCTATGCGATAGAAAAGACAAATGTTTCATTTCATATTGGACTTAATTAAAAAAAGCTAACCTTGTTAGCACGTTAGCTAAAGGGACCTTCCGTGTTCATTTGAAACGTGAAAATGACAATTTATATGCACAATTTCTCAAAAGGACATACAGTGGTCTTCTTGTGGTTAAACCACAAGGACCAAATATGTAATTCTGTCTAATTAATCTATCACTTTTCTACAACCAACATAACACCCCTTACGGTCGTAACCATATACCATGTGCAACTTATCTTTATTTTTCCTATAAATGGAGTAAAAAATGAGGTAAATAGTGTTTCATCTCTAACCCTACTTAATTTTCTACCTCATTTTTTTACCAAAATGTATATTCCTAAAATATTTTATTTTTATAAATTATACATATTGTCAAATAAATCCCTCTACTAATTAGATTTTAACAAATATATATTATATTTTTTTCATTACAAAAATATTACAAATTATATTATCATAAATAAAATGTTTATATATAATAAATTTAAATTAATTATTACTTTATTATAAATAATTATTAAATAAATAAGGTTATATTTATAATAAATATATCAAGAATTATGTTATCATGTTTCAAGTCTTTAGTATATATTTAATATTTTTATATGAATTCGATAAATAAATATTAAACACTGTATTTATGATTAATTAATATAAATTAGTATATAACATGATATTATAAATATTAAATATTGTATTTAAATTATATATAGTAGATAAAAATAAATTAGAATTGTGTAAGATAAAAATGAAAGAAACTAAAAATTAACAACTGAAACTTTAACTCAATTTTTGGAGATATGAATAGTATTCCCCCATATTTGGGGAATACTCTTCGTATCTCCAAAAATAAAGATGAAAATGAGATAGGATTAGAGAAGAATGGAGAAAGAAATAAGAGAAAAAATGAAGTTTGGAGTAGGTTGAATATGCCTTAAAAAAAAATCCCAAAAGCACCAAATATTTGTTTTTGTTCCGCTCTCAAAGAACATGCTGTTGTGATTTGGCTATTAATAAATAAATAGTAAAATAAAATTAAAAAATAGTGGTAAGTTAGTTTTTTTTATAAGTATTTAATACCCGTTTTTTAGAAACTCGGTATTAATAAAAGGGACCGTTCTTGTAAAAAATTGATGCTGAAAACCAGTTGCAGTTTCCACCAAACATCCGGACCATTTATATAATTTAATCTAAGTAAAGGCATGGTTTTTGGTGTGATTCTTTTTATGAAAAAACCATTAAAAAAAATCTCCACAACAAAAATAGTTTTCTAATCTGTTTTATTATTATTATTATTATTAATCTATAATTGGTTGAGTCAAATCTTTGAAAATAGTTATGACGATAGTTTAGTTTTTTAATTAACAACTTTGTGAAATCTTTATGAAAAAAAAAAAAAAAAAAAACTTTTTTGAATAGATTTTCCAATTTTAATGAGATTTTTGTGGTTAAAAAGGTCAAAAGACTATAAAAAAAAATCATATTACACATACTTTTAGCAGTTTTTACCTATTCAAGTTAAATACTATTATAATAAGATTTAAAAAGGTACCATAATAATTCAAATATCAATTATTCATGTTAATAAAACCAAAGGCTTTAAATTCTGACATTGGGGGGAAATAAAACAGGAATCCCACATTGCTTTGTTTCAACATTTATTCATTATTTTCTCTTTCTCTCTCACTCTCTCTCCTCTAAATCATGCCTCCACCGCGCTTACGCTCCCTCCTCCTCCTCTTGCTCATTTCCACCGCCACCCTCCAGATCTGCTCCGCCGCCGAAAACGACGACGTAAACAGTCTTGTTTTCGAGAACCCAAGGCTCCGGCAAGCCTACATTGCTCTCCAAGCATGGAAATCCGCCATCTTTTCCGACCCCTTCAACTTCACCACCAACTGGAAAGGCTCAAACATCTGTTCCTACGGCGGTGTCTACTGCGCCCCCTCCCTACCCAACCCCTCTATCCGTGTCGTCGCCGGCATAGACCTCAACCATGCTGATATCGCCGGTTATCTCCCACCGGAGCTCGGCTTACTCACTGACCTAGCCCTTTTCCACATCAACTCAAACCGTTTCTGTGGCACTGTTCCGACGACTTTCAAGAACCTTACATTACTACACGAGCTCGATTTAAGTAACAACCGCTTCGTCGGAGTTTTCCCGACGGTGGTCTTGTCTTTGCCGGCGTTGAAGTATTTGGATCTCCGGTTCAACGAGTTTGAAGGGTCTGTACCTACGAAGCTGTTTGATAAGGATCTTGATGCGGTTTTTTTTGAATGATAACAGGTTTCAGTTCGGTATTCCGCCGAACTTGGGTAACTCGCCGGTGTCTGTTCTTGTTTTAGCGAACAATAATCTCGGTGGTTGTATTCCGGCGAGTATTGGTCAAATGGAGAAAACGTTGAACGAGATTATTCTCATGAATGATAATCTAACTGGGTGTTTGCCGGTGCAAATCGGAATGTTGAAGCAGGTGACTGTTTTTGACGTCAGCTTTAACAATCTCCAAGGGCCGTTGCCGGCGGCGATTGGCGGAATGAGAAGCGTGGAGCAGCTGAATGTGGCGCATAACCGGCTGACTGGAGTGGTGCCTGATAGTATTTGTAGGTTGCCTAGGTTGCAGAACTTTACTTACTCTTTTAACTACTTCACTGGTGAAGCGCCGTCGTGCTCTGCTGCCGGAGGTGGTGGTGGTAAGGTGTTTGATGACGGGAAGAATTGTATTATTGGAAAGACGAACCAGCGATCAGTGAGGGAGTGTTCCTCTGGAGATGCTCGTCCTGTTGATTGTAGGAAGCTACAATGTGGTGGTTTTTCATCGCCGGCGCCGTCATCTTCTCCTACTCCGACTTCACCTTCAAATCCTTCTCCCACGTCACCTTCCGTTCCCACTACACCGTCAGCTCCTACTCCGACGTCACCATCGGCCCCTACTCCGTCGTCAGTTCCTACTCCGACGACACCAACGACTCCGACACCATCTCAACCCCCTTCTCCCATGCCTACACCGCATCCACCATCTGTTCAGCCATCACCACCACCGCCTACTTCTGAGAGTTCACCAAATACAAAGTTACACCCTCCACCACCGCCTAGAGAGGGAACTACTCCATCAATTCATTATCCACCACCACCACCAGTGTCCCAGATCACACCACCAACTGGACAACCTGTTCCATCACCGCCACATGGAAGTCAGGGATCCCCACCTCAGGGAAGCATACCTTCTCCACCACAGGGAAGCACACCTTCTCCACCTCAAGGAAGCCACCAATCGCCACCACATGGAAGCCACCAATCGCCGGGTCAACCTGTACCATCACCGCCACACGGAAGTCAGGGATCTCCACCACATGGAAGCCACCAATCGCCGCCACATGGTAGCCATCAATCGCCACCAACGGGTCAACCTGTACCATCACCACCACACGGAGGCCAAGGATCTCCGCCACATGGAAGCCACGGGTCACCGCCGCATGGAAGCCACGGATCTCCACCAGCAGGTCAACCTGTACCATCACCGCCACATGGAGGCCAAGGATCACCGCCACAAGGAAGCCACGGATCACCGCCACATGGAAGCCACCATTCACCGCCACATGGAAGCCACGGATCTCCACCAGCAGGTCAACCTGTACCATCACCGCCACATGGAAGCCATGGATCTCCACCACAGGGAAGCACTCCATCTCCACCACACGGTAGCCACCAGTCGCCGCCACATGGTAGCCACCAATCACCGCCACATGGAAGCCAAACCTCACCACCTCCACCCCAACATGTTCCAGCTCCATCACCGGACAATTCTCCACCCGGCCATGTCAGCACCTCGCCTCCACCTCCATCATCCCATTCACTTCCTCCACCACCACCATCATCTGGATGCATTCTACCAACACCACCACCTCCACCGCCACCACAACAATGGCACCACCCACCACCATCACCACAACATCAATCTCCACCGCCACCCACCACCTATCATCATTCCCCACCACCTCCACATCAAACCCAACCACCCTCACCACCCCATAAATCCACACACCCACAACCCCCACCGGACAACACCCCTCTTCCGCCAGTGATCGGTGTATCCTACGCCTCCCCACCACCACCAGTAATTCCGTACTACTAATCAAACCCATATCCTAATCTATCTATACATACATTTTCCTTGAAAATCAAGGAAAATAAGAACATAGAGAATTATGGATTAAATCTGCAGCTTTTTGGGGATTCGGGGGCTGAGATCGATCGATTTAATCTTCTTTTCAAGAAGATTTGCCTACTTTATTAATCTGTTTAAGTATTTTACATTTCATGATATAATCATAATCATAATCATGTACAATTTCAGCTTCCAAATTAGGAATTCCTAGCTTATTCTTATTCATTATTATTTATGTATACACCTATGTATTATGAATGTAATAAACTTCTGTTTTCCATCTCATTGCTTCTGTGATGGTGCAATGTCACCTTTACAAATCTTTTAGAGAAATGAACCCGACTAGATAGATTAGATACCCATACATATATATTTAATGATACAATGCATCTGTTCAAAAAACAATATTTAAATATTAATAATTAATATTTTATAATCTTCAAGTACGTCCATTTATATTTAATTATGGGTTGATGTAAATAATAAATGATAATTTGCAACGGTAGAATACACGTGAAAATAAAAGATGAATAATTGTAGTGCTCCCATACATACCTGCCCACCGTTTTATAACAAGTCATGTGCTTCATCACATGCATCTGTTCTTCAAATTATACACACTACACTCACTACTCTACTTTCTGCATTCACTATGCCAGCTACACACATTCAATTTCCTCATTATATTTTCTTTAATTATTTTACCATTAAAAATGTCCAACCAAATCTGATGATGCATTATTAATTTGTAAAAGACATGAAGACAAATTAAGCACACTTTAAAACAAACATATTAAACCTAACACACTATACATCATGGTCTGCTACAATTCTTATTTATGTATAAAATATACAATCCGAAAAAACGAAAAAATAAAATAAAATACTAAATCATCGCCTATTATATACGACATATTTATTCTAAGTAAAGGAAGATATTACCGAATATGCGAATAATAGAAGATGTTAATGGGTGTTATCAACCGAATCGAATAACGATGCTTGAAATATCATCTTTGCTTTTTCTTGCTAATGCCTCTGAGGTCAAACGCTTGGCGGCTGCTAAGGGATCTTTGATGGATTTCACCATCTCAATGGCCTCATGGTTGCTCATCACCTATACCAATAAAAACTTATGTCAATGGTTAATTAGTAGAAATAGCAACGTACTTTCATTGATATTTGAGAAAAACAAAAAGGTTATTTTTCCAGCAACACTGTGTGGACCTACATTGCCCTGTCTCAAGTAGTTGGGATAAACTTAAACTCTGACATTGTAGCTGTTGAGACTCGAACCCTTGTTCAGTCTAAAAGTATACAACCCCGAAACCAGATAATATAAAATTAAAAGTGAGTGAATATAACGGACCTTCCATAAGCCATCACTTGCCAATATCACAAGCTCTATGGTGGGGTCGATGGGTACATGTCGTACGTCGGGTTCTGAACTTAGATGTGCTTTTAGGCTTTGGTCCCCAAAAGCACGAGCAACCGCCAACTGGCCATTCACTCGAGGAACATCACCTTAAAGAAAATAGTAACAACAAATTTATGTGGCCGATAGCAATACCACTTTGTCTCGAGAATGATTATAGAAAATGTTTTACGGAAAATAATTAAAATATTTTATTTTTTGACAAACAAAAATTGATCCGGATCGAAAAAGTACAAAACTGGACTGTTGAGCCTGAAAATACTGAAAGAAAAATGAGAGAAAGAACTAGATCGCCAGTCTAGTCCTAAATTTTTTTTTTATAGAACACCATAGTTTTTTTAAAAATATACTATCAGATATAACCAACTATTTTGTTTACAAAATAGAGTTAATATCGTAAAAGACCTTATTTTTTTTTTTTTTTGTTTTTTTTGTTTTTTTTGTTTTTTTTTCCGGATTAAACCTCAAATTTATTTTTTCCTTTAAAAAGAACTTGTATTTTTTTTACTTTTTACGAAAAATCCCTCAACTTTGTATTTTTTTCTAAAAAACCATCAACCTTCTAAATGTTTCCAAATAAACCCTCAACTTTTCAAATTTTCTCGAAAAAACCCTCACATTTTCCAATTTTAGAAAAAAATGACTAAAAGGGCCCAATCGGAAAATACGAAAATATACAAGGTCTTTTTCGGACAAAAAATAAGTTTGAGGTTTAATTCGAAAAAAAAACACAAAATATAAGTTTTTTTTATGGGATTAACCCTACAATATACCATGAAACAATGACATTTTGTGAAAAAAATGTTTTCAGTTACTTACCTAAAATAATAGTTCGTTACTCAGTTATGACATTATCTGTTTTTTAAAAAACAGGACAATATTTACCTGGAAGAATAGTGACAAATCCACCCTGTTTCTCAATCCTTTTTCTTTCTATGTGCGGTTCATGGTCCACAGTAAGCTGATTGGCGGAACCTCTCTCACACAAGACCGCCCTAGAATCGCCTATATTTGCCACCCACAAATCTTTACCGTCAATAACAATTGCGGTGACCGCAGTTGACCCGCCCGGACCTAACTGCCCGGCATTCTCAAGGATAAATTGGTCGGTAGAACGATATGCATCTTTTATTGCCTTCATGGGATCTTTCCAAAAACTTGGCTAGAGAATGTTTAAGAGAATACAAAAGTTAATAAGTTTTTTTTTTTTTTTTTTTTTTTTTTCTAAATTGCATATTGATTAGCCTCTATAAATTTGATCCAAGGATCATGATCGATTTATCTTAAATTCTACCAATTTTTGAGGGCTTTTAAATTTTTTTGAAGGCTTGTAATTTTTTTTCTTCGTCTAATTGCCACTAGAGTATGGTCCACGTGGCAATTCTTTCTGACTGATTTTGGAAAATTTCATAGTCAAATTTGGCCATTGACTAAATAAAAAATCTTCAAGGGGAGGGAGTAGACCAATTCCAAATTTCCATCCGGGTCCAATAAATTATGAGGATTGACTTTAAAAAATCTAAAAAAAAAAAAGCAAAACAAATTCTTTTATAGCCATTTTTAGCCTATATGACAAAAGCTTTCACTTTGAGGTGAAAGTATCTTTTTGTATATTTTCTTTTTGTAAATAATCAATATATTAAATATGATCAAAACATCTATATTATGGTAGTAATAATAATTTAACTACTTGAAGAAAGCTATACAACAGGTTATATGCATTAAAAATATATTTTGGATAACATTCAACCCGTTTCATTTTAGCAATTTTTTATTTTGCTCATTGGACCCGTTATAATTTAAAGTATAATCCAAATAAAATTATTCATAAGTAAATGTATTAAACTTGCCACCTTTAATTGCTACCAATACTAATACCATTGAAAAGGAATTTCTTCATATATAGATTAATACATAACAACTTGCTTGTGCATAGTTATGGAAAATATCACCATATCTAAATTCACTTAAAATATTCAGACTTTTGCTTATTTTAATTTTTAACATTAAACATCTTCTCTTTCCATAGGACAATAGAAGCTTTGGGATCTAGAATTTTGATATTGAAAAGATAAACAATCACATAGCTAAGTATAACCTAAGCAACCTTATGTTTCCTATATCATGTACTTTATTTATTCCTTGGTTTGCTAAGTTACTTTTTTCCCTAATTTAAATATTACTCACACATAATTCCATTTCATGAAATTCATAAAGATTAACACAACATTTTGTTGTGTTATAAGAATGAAACAATAAAAGGGAGAAATGTAAAATGAAACTTACCTCATTAAGAATGTTGTTAAAAAGATTATCTTTCAAATAACTTGGCACACGATCACCCAAATGGCCATCAAAAATGGCAAATAGTCCAAGAACATGACCCTTTATGTTTCTGTATTCTGCCACGTGGTAATCTTCCATGTCATGACCAGATTGCCCTTCAACCAAGTGGAATCCATGAGACACTTGATTATCAGATGACTTACTTTTTCCTTTTCCAGTGTCAGATGATGATGCATCAAGGCAAGCAGCTTTCTGTCATTCCATCATAAAAGGAATCATTAATAAAGGGAAAAGACAAAACTTTAAATCAGAATGTCTATTCATATATGTACAAGTATAAGATAACAAAAGGGTACAAAATCCCAATTCTGAAGTTGTAACACATGTTGATTGATCAAACATTTATTTCAAGTTTCAAGTGAAGCCTAAAATTGTAAGATCTTTAATTTTCTTATAAACTTGTATTAGATTTTCATACAGATTCCTTGAAATGGAGTAAACGAAAATGCCTTTGATCGAGTTCGATTTCAATAAAATTCATATGGTAAATGATTTTGTATGTTCATCTGCATTCATTCCAGAAACAATAAAAATATATTTTCTGCCCTGCGATAAAAGTCGTTTTCGAGTTTTAGACGTCAATTTTTGAACTTTTTAACTGCAAAAGCATTAAAGTTCTTATCGTTAAAAATGATATGTTCGAATTGAATTCAGTAAGTAGTAGATTAAAATATTCAAATCGAAAAGACTAATAAGAAAATTATCTTATCCTATAGATCAGATTTTTTCGATAACCAAAGGGATAATGAATTACGGGTGAAACCGTTGCAACCACTCTTACAAACAAGTATACGTGTTCATTGGAAGCAAATCATGAATTTACAGTTCGTTTAATCAAACTATACACATGAATAGCAAACCAAACTCGAAGATCATAACCGTTTATGCACAAATTTTAGCGATCGGAACACCAAAAATTCAAACAAAACGAGTAAAAATGATGAGATTAAATTGTTCGATGACAAATAAAAAAAAAAAAACTATTCATTACTACGATTTCACAAACACGAAATTCACCTTGATTTTGTGGAGGATTCCACCAGTTGCAACGGGATATCTCTTCTCCATCGCTAATTTCTCTCTAAAACATGAAATCAAAACGGAATTCTTTCCCGCGGTTTTATATCTTTAGAATCGATCAACTGTTTTACTTTGTCAAAAAGGGTTGGCGTACAGCAATCACTATGAACGATTTCACACAGATCTCTATATCTAATCTTTCTGTGCAAGTGTTTAAAGTCAGAGACAAATTCTCAAGTCTTCGAAAGGGAATACAAGGTCGTTTACTTTATGGCGGTTTTATCAAGATCATGATATTTGATCTTAGGCCCCCTCAACTTGTATTTACTGTACGTAGTGGTCCCCTATCTTATAATGTTTTACAAGAAACCCCTTATTTTCATTACACCAACCACCTGTTTGAATTTTCTAGGACCGGGAAGTTTCTCCTGTGAGAATTTTACTAAAATTACCTTAAGGTTGTCACAAGTTGTCAATAGTAACCCTCCGGTATGATATTAGCCTAGATCGATTGAATCTCCATGTTTTATGCTTAGGATAAATCGCTTCACTTTTTGTGGTAACAAAACAATAATATTTACATGGTGCAATTTCAAAGTCTTTGTAGGAATTTCAAGAATTTTAGGCTAAACGGTATGGTGATATTCTATCAAAATTAGGTGTTACATAAGTATTTATCATTTTGTCAATATTTGTCTAGGGAAATTTTCGATAAAGTCATAATATTTTATACCAGTTTACGGTTTAATTCCAAATTAAATTTTGTTTACAAAAAAAGTCAGAATACCGGCTAAAACTTTGGAATAACCTTCCATGGTCGGTTTCGTAGATTTAACCAGTATTCTGGCTTTTTTCATTAATTCGTCAAAACATTGAGACTTTTTTCGTTAATTCGGCTAAAACTTCGGAATAACCCTTTTATCAATATATTAAATGGTTTGTTTTTCAATGAGTGTATTTTTTTTCATTTCTTTTTATACAACGTTATATATTCAGTTTTAAAGTCACAAAATTTAGAAAAAATATCTATACAATACAAAAAACTAACAAACTTCATAAACTTGTCTGAAAAACTTTACTAAAAGATAGAGTGCTCCATGACTGCAAAATGAAATTCATACTAAATTATTGTATATATATATATATATATATATATATATATATATATATATATATATATATATATATATATATTGATTTCAACATTGGTCTAAGTACTGGGATAACTATAAAACATACGTAATAATACTAATCGATTATACCTGAATCTATGGTATAACCTTTCTTGTTAATACTCATTTTTTGTTGAATCATGCACTTCAACACGCTCATATTGAACTTGTACCTTAATTTGCCAAGGACAGTAGCAACATATTGGTAGCATCTGTCTTGCCTTCGCTAGACCACAAAACGAAGATTCACGTGAACGTTGATACCATCATTTCACACACGCACACATGTTCTAGATCAAAAACTTTGATGTGTGTGTGCACACATAAAAAAGAAAGACAACGATCTATCTAAGGGGTGTGTGTATGTATCCCTTATTGTATCCTTCCCAATTCTACAATAGATAGAAAGAAATAGAGGGAGAAATAGGGCAGATGGATTAAAGTTTTAAACAACCAATAGAATGAAGAAGAATAGAGGAGTTCATTAATGAGAAAGGTTATCCTATAGATTTAAGTATACCCGATTAATATTATTACATATGTTTTGTAGTTATCTCAGTACTTAGACCAATGTTGAAATCAAAAGAAAATATACAATAATTTTGTATGAATTTCATCTACAATCAAGGAGCATTTTATTTTCCAGTAAAGCTTTTCAGAAAATTTATGAAGTTTGTTAGTTTTTTGCATTGTATAGATACTTTTTCCAAATTTCGTGACTTTAAAACTGAATATATAATGTTGTATAAAAAGAAATGAAAATATACTATTTGAAAAAAAAAACCATTTTAAATATATTGATAAAAAGGTTATTCCGAAGTTTTAGCCGAATTAACGAAAAAGTCCCGATATTTTGATGAATTGACGAAAAAGCAGGAATACTTGCTAAATCTACGAAACCGGCCACAAATGGTTATTCTGAAGTTTTAGCCGGTATTCTGTCTTTTTTTGTAAACAAAATTTAATGTTGGATTAAACCGTAAACTGACCTAAAATATTAAGACTTTATTGGAGATTTTACTATTTGTCTATGAAAATGATGTGATGATGTTCTTGTCTTCCAAATTATAATTTAATATTATCATTTGAATTCAAAAAAAGACAAAAAAAACCCTCAAATAACTAGAAAATAATAACATGTGATAAAGGAAAAAAAAATTGTTTTAAAATCTAATTACAAAGGAAAAAGTGAGTTGTTAAATGACGTTTGATAAAATATTATATATTTTTTGCTATCAAATCCACAAAATAAAAATAAAAATAAAAGGTCAATCAATTCAACTTGTAAGAATAGAGAGAGAGAAAACGGCAAAGGTTTATCGTTCAAATGTGTCGTCCACAATAATATGGATCCAGGTGTGGTGTTTGCCGCCGGAAAACATAGCTACATCATAATACCGGCGGCAAAAAACATCTCCATGCCCGCACAATCTTATAATCATTATGATTTGAACAAAATGATGGGTTCTGAGCCTTATTAGAACAAACAAAACGACAACGGAAACAACAAACAGTTTAATCTGACACTCGAAACATATGAATCTAAACTCAACTAATCTATGCAACTTATTAGAACTCAATAGAACATAAACATAGTTTTGACTTCTTTGTAGGTTTCTTCTTTTGACGAGTCACGTAGTTGATCAGACTTGAGAACCCAACGTAGAGTTCCTCTCTTGTAATCGCACCCAAGAAGCAAAAACAAGCAGAAAAGTACCACTAAGAACCAACACAAAACTAATCCAAAATGATGAATCTGATCATCACCACGTCGTGCCATATAAGGTCACGTCGTGGTATCAAGACTTCCATTTTTCTAGGGTTTTATGAAGGGTTTCGAACTTTATTCGTAGAAAGGTATTTTTCTCATATATCAAAACCAAATTTGGAGCCCTTTATTTATAGGGAGGTGATTTGAAACCCTGAAGATAATTACCAAATATAATAATAATTATCTATGGTATTCAAATCATTATGAAATATTTCATACTAGGTGTGAGACCTATGTATTACATGAGTTTATTAATTAAATATGAAATTCTAAACATTTGAAATTTAAATTTATAAAAAAATAGAAAAATATTGAATTATTAAAATTAAAGTGATTTTTCTCTTTTAAATTTAAACAAATAATTTGGATAAATAAATAAAGGAAACTAATGAGGTTTTAATTTAGTAATTTTAAAATTAGAAGGAAAGTCCATTAATGAATTTAATATGCATTTATTATTACATTTAAATATTAGGTAGAATTTAATAAAATGGAAAAACCATAAAATGACTTGTGGAGAAAAAATAAAATGAAAATAATAAGAAAAAGCCATGTGGCATAATGCATTAGAAGAGTACAATTGTCAAAAATTATTTTCATTTATTAGGGAGGATTCATTTATTTATTGTTAATTAATTACACTATTAATTAATTAACAAAACAAGTCCCTCAAATAAATATCTTTTCAGTTCTGCTTTATTTTGTTATTGCGTTTAACCCAAAAGGACACTGCTATTTATAGTAATATTATAGGGCTTGTTATGGCTATGAGCACTATTCTCCATCAACTCCCACTTGCTTTTAGGAATTAACAATTGGTCGATACAATACTTACTTTAAACAATAGTGAGTGGCAGTCCAATGCAACTATTGTACTCATCACAACAATGCTATAAACAGTCCTAAAACTATTGACTTAAAATTCCTTTGATCTTCATGAAATGTGCATGAATTCGAGACATGGATAATAGCCAGTCACATAAGTCAAGATTATGTTTCCCGACATAGATTTGTGACGACTGATTCTAACTGCTAAATTGAAACATCAATTTTAGTCATGGCTCGTCTGAGCACTTTAGATGTCAGCACCAAATCATCGATGGGTCTAAAGATATCGACTTCTCCATTTCTGGCAGAAGGATCAAATAAACTTTGACTACATAGGTCAGTACTATTCCTCATGCAATATCTAGTCAAACCCTATATAGCTGCCATTTATTGATAACATTGGGAAAAAATCAAGATACAACAGATTGTAGGACAAAACCTCATGCATCTCCATTTGAAGAATAAGAAATATAGGCATCTTAATTTACTCATGACATGATTCATGAAGTAATCTTTAAGCGTGGTTACTCCAATACTTAAAATCTCCATTTTCACATGGTCATCAATATTGGTTGCAAGAGTTAGCTATGTTTATCTCTATGAACAATCTGTTAGATAAAGTGTCTAAGCCTATAACTATAATTGGTATATACATGAATTGATAGTAGCACAGTCCTTTTGGGTTGCCCTCAAACCTAGCAATTGGACATGATGACTTTTAGAGAGTGAGAGAGAGAGAGAGATTAATTTATTATGTGATTAATAAATTAATATAAAAAGTTTATTAATATATTATGAAAATAATATATTAGTTAAAAACAGTATTATTTAGTTAATAATTAATCAAAAATTAAATGGAATTAATTTCGGGATTAAAAGAATTAAATAAAAGTGCAGGGTCTAAAGTGCAACTCTTCAATAATTGAACAAAAGGCTCCAGAACCTTCCACAAAGGTGGTGGATGGCTTTAGGAGGATATTCTAAGGTTTCTAGAATATCCCACGTGGATAAATAAGGAGTTGGATAATTACCAATTTAAAATATTATTATTATATTTGAATTAGGGTTATCCAAGGCTTCATTGTATCACTATATAAAGGACCCTAAGGCATTCATTTTTTGGCCACTCTAATTTCATAAGGGATAGCCGAAATTTCAAGCCTCCCCTCTCCTCTCTCTCAAGACATCTTGTTGCTAGCTTGGGTGTGATTCCATTAAAGGCATGACACTTGTGGTGCTTGCTTCCAAGAGATCTACAAGAAGGAATCATTGTTATTTACTACAATAACAATTAAGGTATGTAATCACAAACGCTAATTTATGTTTTTCGAAAATTACCTAGGGTTGTTAGGGTTTCCTATTTGATGTTCATAGTTATAGGCTTAATAGTGAAAACATAGATCCTTTAGGTTGCATGTGAACTTAAGGGTTTTAAGTTTATTTGTTTTACCTAAATCCCATAAGTGGTATCAGAGCGTTTG